TGGTAAATTTGATATAAATTGTCCCAATTGTGAAAGCATTTTTCAGAAATTAGATATAAATCGATATACTTCTGAAGAATATTTAAAAGGTAAATTTGCTGTGTGTTTTTTGACCGCTCTTTTCTAAAATCTTGTTTTATTTATTCGATAGATACGAATCAATGTCTATTAATGTTAAGCTCGCGAAAACTATAGATTTTCATTATTATTTGCAGCCAAAATGTAACTTTGGCCAAATTCATACCTCAATAATGAAGTGTAATAAATGCGCCGGAAAACTCTGCCTAAAACATATACTTATACTTAAACCAGGCTTCGATTGCTGGTTATGTGAACCTAATAGAAACGCACTTCAAAAATATCACAATATCTTCTTAAACTTTCCAGAAAGATTTTTCAAAGAAGTCAAAAGGGCCAGAAACCCCGGAGGAGTGAATAGAACGCGAAGATCGTTCCCGAATAGAGTACTTGAAGAAGGCAAATAAAATGTCTAAAAATTATTTATTGGAATAAAAAGCTTGTCCAAATTGTGGCGTCAGAATTCAAAAAATAGGTGAAAATGGGAGAACTCATGTGATTTCAGTCGTGCATTGTAATAAAATGAACAAAAATATATAATATTATACATTATATTAAAAGATAACGTATTTGTTTTAATGATTATACTTAAAGCACTGGATGACTCTAAACTGGACGCATTATATTTACATGAATTTTTAAATAGTATTCCTCCTATTCGCTAAAGTATTCTCTTTTGTCTTATATTTATTATGTCAGGGCCAAATCAAATTGTGAGATTAATATAACAAAAGATTAAATTATTTGATGTGTTCCAGCGAAATTGTGAAATTTTATTATATATTAAAAATACAATTATGATTTTAATTCTATCTCTATGATTTTAATTCTATCTCTCTAACGCTCTAATCTTAATCAAAATTTATTAATTCTATAGCTTACAATTTATTGATTGCTCTTATCTTTATAAATCACATAATATTCAGCATGAATCAATTTCATGTTCTATCATATTGTATTATAATAAATAAGTTTACTTAATAATAAAATTTATAAAAATCTTAATAAATAAATAAAATTCTTTATAATTAGATATTTTAAATAAATAACTTCTAATTTTTATTTTTATTTCTTTAACTAAAATTTTATAAAAAATTACTTTGCTTTTATTTAATGTTTTTTCAATAAATTTTATTCTTACTCAAAATATTATTTTTTGATTGCTTTATTTGAAGTTGAATATTTTTTCTTAAAATAAAGTTTAATATTGCTATTATTATTCCAATTCTCATAAATTTTCAGAATATTCTGACTTGCTTGTGGCTGATTTTTTGATTTTGTATTCCTGTGAGTAATGTGCAATAAAATCTTAAAAAAATAATTAATAGTTCCTATGTCCCAAAAATTCTTACCTTGAAGCATCAACATTAATGCGATCGCAGAAATTCCTACAAAAATTTCTACCTTGTCATATCAATATTAACGCTGTTTCCCCAAAAGCAAGAAGTGTTTTATTAAAACCCTTATCTTGCACGTCCAAGAAATTTTGATTATCATTATAGTTTTCTACCCAGCAATTCTTATTTTGTACGTTCTCCCTTATTGCGTGATTCATAGTTATAATTAATGTAACAATTTTCTTTATTTATTTCTTTTACATATAGCTTTTACATTAAAATTTCATTACATTATTTATACATATTCTTTTTTCTTTGTGAAAAATTCCCACTAAAATTCTTATTTTGTACTCTAATGACCTGCAAAACCTGGCATTAACGAATTGTACTTTAGATTGTTGTGTAATAATGAAAACTGTATATAACTAAATAAAAATTATTTTTAATTTTTAACTAACTACATCTCAGCTTTCATTTCTCTGTGCCAAAACGAAATTGATAGCTTTAATTCTTTTTACACTTAACAAATCGAAGGCTTTACTGCTTTGGTCATATAAAGCTGCTGAATCGCTTTTGATTCGACGTTTCGTTCGCCCCTTTGAGCTGGATAATTATTGTGTTTAATTTTGACTTTGTTAATTATTTTATTTTAGTTGTTCATAATAAACTTATATTGGAAGTTTAGAATATTTGTTATTTGGATTTTATTTGTAAGTTAATATAGTTATGGGTTAACTTTATAATTTGTTGGTGAAATAGAGATGACTTTTGTTAATTCGAACTGAGTGTTATAAAATTCATACATACCTTACCCTTTGCCCTTGATTGCACAATCTCCGTGAAAGATTGGCAAAGAAGACCTTTAGAACTCCACTTCGTGTATGTTTCTTTGTCAAAATGTAAAGATTCGTTTATAATATCATTATTTGTCATAAATTATCAAATATATGTACACATTTCTCTGTTTAACTTTATCGTCTTGAATGATTTCGCTTAACCTTTCCTTCACGATAAATAACATATTAAAGATACAGTATTTCATCCTTTGATTTTGTTCTTTTGAAAATACGGGCTATTAAATTAACGAAAGACAAAATAACTTTTAATGCAATTAAGCTAACATTGATCAATATAGAGTATTGCGTAATGCTCAATTACTATCTTGTATCATTGTCCGAGCCCAACTGTACAGTGCCCTGACAAAGTGAGTGATCACCACGAAATTTTGCAGATCGAACGTTAAAAGTTGTTCATATATGAAGTAAATATTTTACTAACACACTCAGCCATGATGCAATAATTAAACTTATTCACAATATCTATGTGCGTGCATTTTGTAAGTTTCACTGACTTTGTATAAATATTGAGCGAAAAATAATGGCTTACGTCGAAGGTAAAGATTTTTGAAAATCTATGTTAAAACGGTAGTTATAATGCTATTTTCAGAAGTTAATTGCAATATGTCCTTGCATTATTAAGTAAAAAGATTCACCATATTTTAAAACTTATAAATATAAATTTTCAGACGATTTGGTTAGATTTCATTGAATACTAATCCCAAAAGTAGAATTTTCTAAAATTTAAGCCTTTGTAATTATATATCATTAGTGGTTTGCTAGAATCCAGTCATATTTCACAAGAAGATGCGTGTTGTTATTGTTAATAACTTTTATTAGTATGCGTTTGTTTACTAAAAAATGGGGTAAAAAGGTTTATATAAGCAACTGATTGAGATGCAGTTATCTGATATTAAAATTTGTACAACTTTGTACTTGCAATGTAATATGGCTTCTAAAAGAAAAGAACTAACTCATTCCCAGCGTGCACAGATTATTGTTGCTTGTAAAGTGGGATCAAGTCTCAGAAACATCGCTCAGATATTTGATTACCCTTATACAACTGTCCAGAAAGTTGTTAAAACTTACAAAGATCATGAACTCATTAAGCCTTCTACTTGAAAGAGAAGACAAAAAATAATGTCAGAAAGAAATAAATGTGCTTTATTGAGAATTATTAAAGAAGATAGAAAATTGATGCTTCCAGGTAGAATTCTCAATTTACTTCATGCTACATTAAAATTATTTGCTGACTTTTTACCTTGCATCTTCAAATAATATTATTATTAGAAATTCGAAATAAATTTGCAGATTCAACTTCAATAGTTGTTTCTGAAAGAACTATTCAACAAGAACTCCATCAATCTGATTACTTTGGCCGCATGGGTACCAGAAAACCTTATGTTAATGGAAGAAACAAAAAGAAAAGATTAGATTGGGCTAAGGAGAAGAAAAACTGGAAAAATCAATAGGAGAGGATTATATGGAGTGATGAATCATATTTTCATTTATTCAATAGGGATGGTAGAAAATGGATGTGAAGACAACCAAAGGAGAAGTTTGATGTGAATTGCCTTATTCCAACACACAAATCAGGACAAGATGGAATTATAGTATGGAGTTGTTTCCATAAAAGTGAACTTGGTCCATTAGTCAGATTGAATGGGAGAGTCAATTCCAGAGATTATATTAATCTCTTGCAAGATAACCTTTTGCCATATTTGGATTCTCTTGAAGATAAGAAAAATTTGATTTTTCAAGAGGATAATGCTTCTATTCACATCTCAAGATTGAGTAAGGAATGGAAGGCTAGAAACAATCTAACCAATCTTTCCTCGCCTCCTCAAAGCCCTGATTTAAATCCCATTGAGCATTTATGAGATGTTCTAGAATGAAAGATTAGGGCACATAATCTCTTACCAAAAAATAAGGAGGCGCTTTGGCAAATATTGCAAGAAGAATGGTCACAAATAGATAATAGTGTAATTCAGTCTCTTGTTGATAGTGTGCCCAGACAAGTTACTGCTGTAATAGAAAGTAAAGGAAATCCCACTAAATATTAATAAAGTTTGGATATTGTCTTATAATTTAACTTCTTATTCAATGAAATCTAAACCAAATCATCTGAAAATTTATATTTATAAGTTTTAAAATATGATGAATCTTTTTACTTAATAATGCAAGGACACATTGCAATTAACTTCTGAAAATAGCATTTAACTTCTGAAAATAGCATTATAACTACCGTTTTAACATAGATTTTCGAAAATCTTTACCTTCGACGTAAGCCATTATTTTTCGCTCAATATTTATACAAAGTCAGTGAAACTTACAAAATGCATGCATATAGATATTGTGAATAAGTTTACTTATTGCGTCATGGCCGAGTATGTTAGTAAAATATTTACTTCATATATGAACAACTTTCAACGTTCGATCTGCAAAATTTCGTGCATAAGGCTTAACGTTAAGAAAATCGATTAATTATATCGATATTGATATATTTAGGATATTTAGGATGTACATCGATATTTCACATACCCAATATAGTAATAGATAATCGGAACTCTCACGCCATGTACATATATCGTCATTATATGTTCATAAAAGGGTACTTTCTGATATGCATGTAGAGGAATTTCTAAATATGGTTAAATAATAACGATAAAATAGATATAATAACGAAACGAAATTTTGCTTGAATAACTGATTCGACAATATTGTCTATTTTTGAAATACAGCACATCTTATGTCTTGTAAAGAACCATACATCGTTCCTCAACAAACAAGGACTGTCAATTCCAATAGCTTCACGGAATTTGATACTACCACTATTGAGCATACTAATGTCTTGGCATGCATTGTATGCACTGAGGAAAAAGAGAAAAATTTATTTGACGAACCAGCTACCCAACACTGCAATCATGCAAGCATCATCTGTAAAACTTGTGTAACAACTCACCTCCGCACTCAATTCGAAAGCTATGGTAATGTTGGAATAAAGTGTCCTAACGCTAATTGTGTTAGCATGTTTCAGAAATCAGATATAAAGCGATTTTTCTCGGAAGATCTTTTTAAAAGGTAATTAGTTGGTGATGTGTGTTTTCTGATTGCTCTTTTTAAGTCCGTTATAATGATTAATTTCTAATTTCTCGTTTATTTTAATATACAATAGATACGAATTGATCTCCACTAAAATTGAGTTCGCCAAAAATAAAGATTTTCATTATTGCTTGCATCTAAGATGCAATTCTGGTCAAATCCATATTGACACGGGTAAAAACATCTGTTAACATTTTATCAAAACGCTTGTACCATATTTAATGCTATCTTTATTCCCTATTACAGAAACACCGATAATGAGATGTGATAAATGTTCCGGAAGAACCTGTCTAAAACATGCATTTCCGTTAAAACCCGACGAAGATTGCAGATTATGTGAACTCGATCGAACAAAAATTTTTTCGCAATATGGTTTGAAACTTTTCAAAAAAATATTTTCAAAGAAACCAAAAATGATGGAAATGCCGGAAGAACAAGAAAAACGCAAAGAACTTGCCCGACTAAAGCATTTGAAAAAAGCAAATGCAAAAACCAAAAGGTATATTTTTTGGAATACAAAAGCTTGCCCAAATTGTGGTGCCAGAATTCAAAAAGTAGGTGGATGTTCTAATATGATTTGCAGTGCGCCTGGTTGTTCTTATTCGTTTAAATGGTGATCTTATAGACCCATTAGTCATAAGATAGTACTACCTCTAAAGTTAAAATAACCTAATTAGAGTGGTATTTGTTCGAATAATGCAAAATAAAATGGCATGTGTAAATGAAAATAGAATTTTCTTTAGAAATTAAATGACTCACGACAAAAAATTCAGAATAAGCAAATGAATAATAAAATATTGGTAATGAAGTCATGAATTTTGATTGACAGTCCCTAAATTTACTGAATCAAATATATGGTTTAAAAGATTGGGGCGCTAGACAATAACGTTCGATCCGCTTAATGAAAATGCAAATGACTAATTAATTATATACATTTTATTTGATAAAAGTATGCAATAATTTAATATATGTATATTGCACATGATTTAGAAGTTTGAATTGACCATTCTTAAACACTTTCATTTCTACCGTAGTGGGGTAACTAACCAACTAAACACATGTATGGTGCTATTCTCTGTCCAATACTTTTATATATGTACTCAAAGATGTATCTGTAAATAAAATGAATGACTTTTCAAAGTCAAATATTGATGCAGAGATGAATATGTTAAAAAATTCTGCTCTAGGACGACAGTTTTAATGTGTTATTACATGTATAAACTAAGTTACTGCAGCCGGAGTTGACTACTGTTTCTTGTTTCATTTTGCTTTGTATGGAACAGTGATATACGGGGGGGGAAGAAATTTTGGACGTTTCGCGCATTTTTAAATTGACGATCTATAACCAAAAACAAATCTCATCCAGGAGTTATAAAGCTATGTGCAATTTCCTCTCAAAAAATCGCTCTTTAATTTTGCCGCATAATGTGCCGTGGAAAAGAATTAACAGAAAGTGGCCAAACACATACCAAGATCTCTAAGGCTGTAGGTTGTTCTGTGATCCACGTGTTAGAAGCACACAAGCTTAAAAAATTGTCTAAAAATGATCAGATCATCTACTAATTCGTAAAAATCTACATGCAACCATCTCAAGGCTTCAGTAACCCAAAACAAAAATTCTCACCATCAAACTCTTTTCCAGGTCATACAAAGTATTAGAATCATTATATAAATATCTGAATCATTCTATAAATAAGTAAATATCAGAACCTTCTATAAATAAATAAAATTAATTAAAAAAAATTGTCCAATATTCTTTCACCCCCCTGGTAGATGATCTAATTATTTTTTAGATGATTTTTTAAGCTCGTGTACTTCTAACACATAGATCAAAGAAAAATGGAAATAACCTACAGCCTTAGAGATCTTGGTATGTGTGTGACCAAGTTTTTTTGCAATAATAATTCCACCTTTCTGACTTTCTGTTAATTCTTTTCCATGACACATTATGTGGCAAAATTTAAAGAGTGATTTTTTGAGAGGAGATTGCATGTAGCTTTATAATTTCTGGATGCATCATATGAAGATGAGATTTGTTTTGATTATAGATCATCACTATATGTAAATAATTTATTATAAAATAATTATCAAAAAAAACACAAGATCTAATAATATAAATCAATTTAAAAATGTGCAAAATGTCCAATATTTTCTTCCTCTCATACATATATATGTACAGTGTGATCCATAAGTATTCAGAATTAGAAAATTACTTGTCACGCCACAACCAATGACGTGTATTACATAATTTTTTTACATTTCATAGACAAAAAGAAGTTAATTTTATTAAAATATTTTTAATATAATATATGCTTGCCATTGTCTTCTATAATAAGCTCGCAATATCACTTCATAAACCTAACTAAATTAATTAGAGTAGACTCAGGGATATCTCTCTATGCACTTATCATAAAACAATGCAGTTCATCTGAATTTTTTGGCATGCGCTTTTTCACATTGTTCTTGATAATACACTAGAAATTTTTGTTGGAATTCAGATCAGGACTGTTGAAAGGCCAGTTCAAAACTTCAGGCATAGTTTCTTCAAGAAATATCTTGATGAGATGGCTTGTGTACTTTGGATCATTATCTTGCTAAAATTGCCATTCATCTCCTAATAATTACTCTATCTCTGAAATATGCTCACAAAGAATATCAACATAGAATTTAACATTCATAATTTCAGAAAAGCAAAATAAACTACTTTTACCCTTTATACAGAATTCTTCCCACACGAAGATCTTTATTCGGTCCTTGAGTATATATCATATTGATCATGCTCTCTTATACCAGCATTTTACTATATTTCGAAAGAGTTAGAAAGCTATCTCATCCAAAAAAAATATATCATTTGAAAAAATATATCATTCTAATTATTGTTGAGATGCTTTCAGGCCCACTCTATATATTTATGCTTATGAGCCTTGGTAAGCATTAGAGTTTCTAATGGGAGTGCTTTTTTGTATTCAAGAGCATTCAAATACCTTCCAACCATTTGATGAGATACCTCTATATTGATTTTTGATAACTTTGTTGCTAAAGTTCTTGTTGAAATAGATGAATCTCTTTGAATATATTGATCTAATACCTTTGATGCTCATGCTATTATCTTCTTGGATCTACTTTTGCTTTCAGCATGCTTATTTGTGTTAGATTTTTTGAGTTTATTGATATTATCATATATTATAAAGAAGAATATGTTGATTATAGAATGAATTTCTTTGGTATTTCGAATGTCCTAATCCCATAATTATAAAATGAATTGATAGTTAGTTTCTTGCTTAGAAGTTATTACTATATCCAAAAAAAAAAATGAATGAATGATAGTATGAAGAAGTTCTATAAACACTCTCACCTCTGATGATTTTTTTCCATTTTAAATTGTAAAAATTGGCCTTAATTTGGCAAAGTTACGCATATTTTTTTTCTGCAGAAATTTTTTCAGATACTTATGAACCATACTGTATATCACATATATAATAGTAGTAGTTATTATTATATATATCAGATTAATAATATTGAAATTATCCATTACATAATTTGAGAATTCAAATAAAAAAGAAAAAATATTCATTGTTTTACCTTGTCACTACTTGCAATTATCTTATTGAAGTTAATATTTATTTCTAGGAAAAACTTTCATCTCAATTTTTCTATAATGAAAAAATTAAAGTTAATACAAATATGATTAGTCAGATAGAGCTTTTATCTCTAACATTTTAAAATAATATTTCAGTTATCTCCTTTTTAAATAATTTTTTCTGAGTTTTATAAAAATGTTACAAAGAATAAATTTATAAGTGTTAGAATGTAAAAGACTAATTGCAGACTTTAACATAATTTCTTTTTTGCTATCTGTGCTGCAATAAAAGAAATATATCAAGAAGTATCAACTTCTCATGAAGCTACCCAACTAATTAAAGAATTTACTGATGTATTTCCTACTTTACTTTCTAATAAATTACTATCAAAATATGTTATAGATCATGCTATTGATTTAATATCTAATTCTGAACTACTATCTTACTCTACATATTGTTTGTCTTATATTGAAATAGATAAACTGAAGAAACAACTATCTGACTTATTTAGTAAAGATTTTATTCATCTAAGTCTTTTGCTATTTGAAGTACTTGTCTTATTTATATATAAAAAGAAAAAAACTCTTTGACTTTGTGTAGATTATTATACATTAAATAAAATTATAATTGAAAATTATTATTCTTTATCTCATATTGATGAATTAATAGATCACTTAGCTAAAGTATAATACTTTTCTAAATTAGATCTCTATTCTGAATATTATTAAATCAGAATCAAGGAGAAAGATATTCATAAAACTGCATTAATAACAAGATATAATTACTATAAATTTCTTATACTTCTCTTTGATCTTACTAATATACCCATAACTTTTATGACTCTTATAAATAATATTTTTTATAACTATTTGAATAAATTTATTATCATTTATCTTAATAATATTCTTATATTCAGCAATACTAAAAAAGAATATTTTAATTATCTTCATATTATTCTTTCTAAACTTTGTAAATATAAATTTTATGTCAAATTGAAGAAATATGAACTTATCAAATAATATATTAAATACTTAGATTATTTTATCTCAGGTTAAGGAATCTCAGTAAATCAATACAAAATTATCACTATTCATAACTAATCTCAACCAACAAATATCTCTAAGCTTTGATTATTCTTAGATCTTATTAGTTATTACAGAAAATTTGTCAAGGAATTTTTTGTAATCACTTTGCTATTATAGCCTTACTTTATAAAGATCATGGGTATATTTGAAATAAATTTAAACAATAAGCATTTGATAATTTAAAATAATATTTAATTAACACGTTTATTTTAATTTTGTCAGATTCTAAACTACTCTTTACAATAATAACTAATATATCTGAATTTACTATAGAAGCTATTCTTAGTTAAAATCATGAAAAAAAAGATCAATCTATTATCTATAAATTATGTAAATTATCATCTGCTAAGCAAAACTATCCTATATATGAAAAGAAACTTCTTGCTATTGTAAATACTATTCATCTTTGAAAATTATATTTAAAAGATTAATACTTTACTATTATTACTAATTATATATCTCTTGAGTATATTAAAACACAGTATAATTTCTCTAAATATAAAGCTTACTAGTTGAAAACTTTATAAGCTAATAATTTCATTGTTAAATATAAATCAGAAAAGAAAAATATCATTACTGATACTTTATCTTATCTATTATAAGTGAATAATCTTACTATAATTTCTGCATAACTAATTAATGATGAAAAATTACAACAAAAATATGAGAATGATAATCACTATGTAATTATCTACAATTTACTAAGAATATAATTCAATTTTAGTTATTATAGATTATCTTACTAAACATATTCATTTTATTCCTATACATATTATTTTTATTACATCTGAAGTTACCAAACTCTTTTTTAATAATATCTTCAAATTACATGAACTATCTCATATTATAATTTCAGATTATGATATCAAATTTACTAGTTATTTCTAAAAATCATTATTTGAACAAATTGAAACTAAATTAGCTATGTTAACTGCATTTCATTTACAAACT